CTGCTCTCTGGCTGTTCAAATTCAGCGTCCAGGTGTTGAACCTCTGAGTTCCATGCCTGAGTGAATCTTTCACCCTTCCCTTCACAAATGTTATGGAGGGTACAGCACACGTATATAACCGCGGGTCTGCTGTTATCGGCCAGGTCCAGCTTCCCATACAGAAAATGCCAGCGGCCCTTTAAACGGCCAAAAGCACACTCCACTGTCATTCTGCACCGGCTCAGCCTGTTGTTGAACTGCTCCTTGCTGCTGTCAAGGCTCCCTGTGGAGGATTTCATGAGCCAGGGCATTAAAGGGTAAGCGGGGTCTCCAAGGATCACAATGGGCATTTTGACTTCCCCTACGGTGATCTTCTGGTCTGGGAAAAAAGTCCCAGCCTGCAGCTTCCTGAACAGGCCAGTGTTCCGAAAGATGCATGCATCATGCACCTTTCCGGGCCAGCCTGTGTTAATGTCAATGAAACACCCACGGTGATCCACAAGCGCCTGGAGAACCATAGAGAAATACCCATTTCGATTAACGTACTCGGAGGCTAGGTGGGATGGTGCCAGAATTGGAATATGCGTCCCATCTATCGCCCCTCCGCAGTTAGGGAAGCCCATTTGTGCAAAGCCAGCCACAATGTCATGCATGTTACCCAGAGTCATGGTTCTTCTGAGCAGAAGGTGCAATTAATGGCCCTGAAAACTTGCATCAACATGATTCCAATGGTCGACTTCCCCACTCCAAACTGGTTAGCGACTGATCGGTAGCTGTCTGGAGTTGCCAGCTTCCAGACTGCAATAGCCACCCACTTCTCCACCATCAGGGCAGCTCTCAATCTTGTGTCCTTGTGCCACAGGGTGGGGGTGAGCTCCTCACAGTGGCTTTTTTCATCCGAAAGTTCTGCAGCCACTGCTCGTCATCCCAGATTTGCAGGACGATGTGATCCCACCACTCAGTGCTTGTTTCCCGAGCCCAAAAGTGCAGTTCCACGGTGGTGAGCATGTCCGTCAATGCGACAAGCAATCTTGTGTCGTATGCATTACTTGAGTCGATATCATTGTCAGAGTCCTCACTGTCACTTTGGATCTTAAGGAATAACTCGACTGCCAAATGTGGCGTGCTGGCAACACTTGTCAGCATATTCCTCAGCAGTTCGGGCTCCATTCCCACAGACCAAAAGGGAAGACAGAGCGTACAGTATAAGAAATGTTGAAAGATGGCGCCAGTTGTGGATGGAAGCAGAGAGATTGCTGGGATGCAAACCGATGCATCACGGGGCATTGGGACAGGACCCAGAATGTCCCGCGCCCTCCGCCCCCTTCCCACAAGCCACAGGGCCAGAATGGGAAGAGGTGCTCTGTGGGATAGCTGCCCACAATGCACCGCTCCCAATGCAAGTGCTGCAAATGTGGACACGCCAGTGCGCTTGCAGCTGTCAGTGTGGACAGACTGCAGCGCTTTCCCTATTGCGTTCTATGAAGGCTGGTTTAATTCAAAGCGCTCTACATTTGCAAGTGTAGCCATGCCCTAAGTTTCACTTAGTTCCATCAGCTCATGTAGACAAGGCCTTACCAGTGCAATATAAACTGATATGTTCAGGTTTAAATTGATTTAAGAGAGTCCACAGACAAAGAGGCAGTGGTTTAACTAAAGGGATTTAAAATCACAACTTTAGTTAAGCCAGTGCAACTTTCTGATTTGACCAGCCCTAAGAACTTGTCTACACTTACAGCTACGCTGCTGTAGTGCTTAAGCCTGGTCTACACTACACAAATAGGTTGACGCAAGGCAGCTTACATCGACCGAACTTATACACTAAAATTTCACTCCTGCCAACATAAATGTCTTGCTACGCTGACTTAATAACTCCGCGAGAGGCATAGAGTCAATGTCAATGTAGTTAGGTCAACACAGTGTCAGTGTAGACAGCTTTCAGAAGCTGTCCCACAATGCCTCATACTAACAGTACAGTTGGCGCACACACTCCTGGTGAGGACACACATCGCCGAGACAAGGAGCAAAATGTGGACACGCAAAAGGGATTTAATTACTGTGGCGGTTCTATGCCAACGTAACTTAGGTCAACATAATTCTGTCGTGTAGACAAGCCCTTAGTGAAGATGCTACCTTTGCTGATGGGAGACCTTCTCCTGTTGGCTAGGTACTCCACCTCTCCAAGAGGTGGTAGCTAAGTCAACATGAGAAGCCCTCCCAGCAACATAGCACTGTCTACACTGGATTTAGGTAGGTAGACCAGAGCTAAGAGTTGGCAGACAGCTGAGAAGGAAAAAAAAATAAACCCCAAAACAGCTTTGGGGTTTTTTTTTTTTGATGATCTGTTTAGTTTTTAAAACATCTAAAGTGTTTAGAAAAAAAAGATTCGCACAAACGTCCGCAACTGAAATTTGGATCAAAGCAATTGAAGCAAGCACAGCAAAATGTTAGCATTGTTGTATAATTTTAATGTGTCAATAAGCAATGAGATGAGCCATATAATATTTTCCCCCTCTCCTCTCAGAACAGAGACATTTTTCTTATGCCGAAAACAGTAAAATGAAATCCATAATAACAACATGAGGCTTGGAAGTCTTTAAACTGTACTAGTAGTAGAGTTCTCAATCAGTAAGAAGTAGGAGAAGCCCAGAAAGTAACATTACTGATCTAAGGAGCGTGTAGGGCTCCTAGAGGAATACCCAGATGGAAAATAAGACTGATTTCCCTTGTAAAACTGCAGTCAGATCCAATATGTGAAAAAAAATCAAACAATTATAGTGACACATAGCCCACTAACTGAGTGAATATTGAGAACATTAAATGTATCAGGCTGCTGTCTGACAGTCAAGTTGGCGTTTTGAGGCTTTAAAAAAAAACAGGCTGATATAATGGCATAGAACTACTAAATCCAGCCTCTCCACCAGCGAACTCAAGTAAAAAAACCAACAAAACCTTATCTGGTCCTCCTAAACCCATGGCATAGTCTTAGCCACTCAGAGAACCAGCAACAACACCATCCAAGTCTTCCATCATGTGACTACTACAGTTCGAAATTCATAGTTTCCAAGGTTAGAAAGGCCCAGCATGATCATCTACTCTGACAACCTGTATAGCACAAGTCATAGAACTTCCCCAAAACAATTAGTAAAGAAGATCTTTTAGAAAAACATCCAGTCTTGATTTAAAAATTGTCAGTGATGGAGACTCCCCCATGACCTTTGGCAAATTGTTCCAATGATTAATCACCCTAACTTTCGAAAACGTTCGCCTCATTTCCAGTCTGAATTTGGCTAACATCAACTTCCATCCACTGGAGCATGTTAGATACAAACACCGTTCTCTGTTAGATTGCAGAGCCCATTATCGACTATTTGTTCCCAATGTAGGTACTTATAGACTCTAATCAACTCACCCCTTAACCTTTGCTTTGTTAAACTAAAGAGATTGAGTTCCTTGAGTCTACACTTTCGCTAATTCAGAAAGCATTGTCAAAGCCTTCCCCAAATTCTTACTGATATGCAAGTAGTGTCCAACTACTTTTTTGTGTCCAACTCAGCAAAAATTTTGCTGAGACACAAAATGTCTATTGAAAAACTCCAGTTTTGTGGCAGCAACAAAAGAAGAAAAGGCTCTTCAAATCTGAGGAGGAAACGTCAGGCAGCTAAACATTTTATTCCTTTTAACCCGCTACTTAGGCTTTTCTTTCATTCACAATAAGCTGCCCTTTTGTAAGGGACACTTTTGTATGTGCCCAAATCCTCCAATGCACATGTGCAAGTCAGGTAAAAGTATGAACCCTATAATGCTAGTGAAATAAATAGCTGAGATGGGAACCTGCAGAAGGGGGTTAAATGTGCTGCATATACACTTAGCTCACTGAGGGGTTAATAACTCTGGTGTTTGAAGGTACTTCAGTGAGAACAATGAGCAAAAATTGCTAATGGATTCCCACACTACAGCCCTTGAGATTAAGAGGAGGTTAATTGAATTCTAGTGAGCTTCCTTTGTGTTGCAGCGCAATTGAACAAGTCAGGACAACCAACTTGTCCATCAACAACCTATATTTTGGGGCAAATGAATCCCTCCTGTAAATAAATTGACTTCAATGGAATTACAGCAAGGATAGATTTGGCTTGCTGACTCTGTGCTCAGGGAGGTTGAGATACCCATACCACCTGCTTGGGTTCCAGATGATTGTGGTTTGAGGAAGATTTAAGAGGAGTTAAGAAAATGCAGTCTAGATTGCACTTTAAACACAGATCTATGTTTCTGGGGTTCCAAAAATATTGTTACACCGAGTGAAGCTTTGCTGCTGCTTTTGTGGTTAATAGCCATCCTTTTTTGAAGCAATGACAGGAGCAATGTGGATTATTGCAAATAAAAAATAGAGCAGGAAATCTCATCCTGATTCTGTCCCCTCAGAATTTTTCTCCTACAAAGAAAACACCCCACTTGGGAGTACAACTCTCCTCTGACTGCTCAGAAGCTGCGATATTGATCTTCATAGGTAGCCATTAACTAATATAACATGAATTTCAGGCCCTTTCAGAAGTTCTGAGGTGACACAATATTTTTTGAGGAGACTCTGCCCATGAGAAAGCCCACCTGGTCCTCACTGACTAAAGAAATGATAGACAAACATCTTGCTTGAATTTTTAGATCAGCATTAAGAAGTGATATCTCCTTATCAGAAATGCTATTCATTTTTGGTTGCAAATTTAACTGTCTGAAATCTGACATGATAAAATAATATTGAACCAATAAAATAATATTGAGCTCATTTAAGGCTGGTGCTCAGATTTTATAATACTTTGCTTCTTATTTCTGTGAGAGCTCAGTATTGCTCTGTTGAAGTCACCGGGATTTTTGCCACTGACATCATGAGGAGTAGGGCTGGGATTTATGGGGATCCAAAATATTTTATTTTTTCATTTTCATGTGATAACTTTGGGTTTGGTTTCATATACCAAGGGCATTGTGTGCAACAGATGTTTCTGGCCTTGTGGGAGTGCTCCTTTGGGTTGTTAACTTTTTAGGTCTGTGGTTTTTTCAACTTCTCTCTTCTCTAGGACACTTACATTTCCATCGGTGAACTGGTGCACTCTGCCTCCCTGTCGGGCTTTTCTTTCCCTGGCTGAACTGTATTGTTCAGGCAAGTTGTCACTGCACTTGAGGTGATTTTTCAACTTGTCGCCTCTTAACCTCTTTCCCCTGCTAGGTTCTCCACTATTGAATGTGATGGCTCTCTCCTATTTTTTAGTTATATAAGGAGGTTTTTCACCTGGTTTCTGACATCCCTGAGTGTTACGATTGACATATATACATTTCCACATCTCTGTAATTGTATTTGATTGCTTACATCTGTAACAGCAAAACTACATAAGAACAGCCATACTGGGTCAGACCAAAGGTCCATCTAGCCCAGTATCCTGTCTTTTGACAGTGGCCAATGCCAGGTGCTCCAGAGGGAATGAACAGAACAGGTAATCATCAAGTGATCTATCCCATGTAGCCCAACTAGGGTACAGACAACTGGATTCTGGCTTTTCCATTGTGGCTAACTCTTAATCTGCTTGTTTTCCTTGAATATGCTTAAAAATATTTGTTTCAAGGTAAGTCGAGAGGCCTTGGCTCCTCCAGTAATGAAATAATATTGATATAATTATCCATTACAGGATTTCCTGCCCTTCATCAGAAACATCTAGAATACTGGACTGGATGGACCACTGCTCTGATCTGATATGGCAATTGTTAGGACTTAAATGCTACCACTGCTACTCTGCATGCATTTTAAATAAAATTACACGCTATTATGCAGCCAACTAATATATGAGGTAAGCACATCAAATGCAGTTATAATGAAAGTTTGGGGGATGGATCTGGCTTAATGCAACTAACTTTTATTAACAGAGTACTGTAGGCAAGGACAAAATGTTTGCCAGATTTTTTTTTTAAAAAGACGACTCGCAGTAACAATGATTCAGAAAGTTTCTGCAGTTCAATACATTATTGAAAATCAAGATTATATCTTTTATAAATCCAATATTTATCAGATTGTCTTATATACAAAAGCTGAACTTCAAACTGACACAAAACAGAACACAAAATACTGGCCTTGTCAAAGATGTTTTGTAATTTTCTTAAACGTTTAGTCATAGTCTACTTAATAAACAACAGAATGCACATACTGGGTTACTCTAAATCTATGATGTATTTAAGTTTTGACTAGTTTTAAACTTAAATGTACCACAGAACAGAATGACTACACCAAGCACAAATGTGTATATGATGACTCTTTGAGACTATTACGTTTAAAAAATGTCTGTTCAACAGCACACAGAGAAATGTTGATAGATGTCATGAAAACTGTATTTTATGGTCAAAACTGAGTTTGCATCACTGGTGAAGGCATCAGTGAAAACCATACTGTCTTCTGATCATTCTCCATTACTGTTTTGGCCAGAAAACATTGTAGAACACTGACAATTGCCAGTTTTTGAAAGAAAATGTTACATGTGGAGCCATACATTAACTGTGAGCCTCTCACAAGATCTCACGTCAGGCCATGTTAAAGCAACCTATCATTTCCATAGGAAACAATGGTAGTGGAAAAGGTCTCCGCTATACTACAAAAACAATTGTGTTTGGGGCCCAACAACAAAGCCTACAACTGCCAGTGTGTATCTGAGGAAAGGGCACACAATCCCCAGCCCATATATTTAAACAACTGTATATTGTGGAACCTACAAGATATGTGCCATGCTTCACTGATCATTCACATTGCTTTTGGTCGCTTCTCTTTCCCATCCCTGTATTTGTATAGCATCAACCTATATTGAAAACTCTTTGGGAAACCAACGGATTCTCTTTTACTTATTTCTCAAGTGGTTAGCATTCTTGGTACTACACAAAACAAACCACCATCACATGTTAAAACATGATTTCCCAGACTAAAAGGGACCAAACCACTTTTTAACCATGTTATGGAATCATGATACAGCCTTGGGTTTGTCAGACTGGAGCATGAGTGTTAACATGGTTAAAACTTGGTTCACTCCTATCTAGATTGGTAAAACTGAACTGTATTTTAAAAGCCTCAGAGTTGTAAAGAGGACCCCAACTTGCTATTTTATATGACATATCTACTGCTTCCCCTCTATCCACTGGGCCAGTAACCCTGTCAAAGAAGGAAATTAGGTTGGTTTGGCATAATTTGTTCTTGACAAATCCATGCTGGCTATTCCTTATCACCCTATTATCCTCGAGGCACTTACAAATTGATTGTTTAATAAATTGTTCTGGTATCTTTCCAGATATCGATGTTAGGATGACCGGTCTATAAATCCCCAAGTCCTCTTTGTTTCCCTTTTTAAAGTCAGGTACTATATTTGGTCTTCTTCAGTCCTCTGGGGCCTCCATGAGTTCTCAAAGATAATTGTTAATGGTTCCGAGATTGCTTCAGCTAGTTTCTTAAGTACCTTAGATATATTCAAGTTGGTAGGGCCAAATGAAATTCATCCTAACTTATCTAAATATTCTTTAACCTGTACTTTTCCTATTGTGCCTTGTGTTCCTTCCCCCTTGTTAGAATATTAATTGTATTAAGTATCTGGTCACCATTAATCTTTTTAGTGAAGACTGAAGCATTATAGGCATCAAACGTTGCAGCTTCTTGATATCATGAGCTCTCCTTCCTCACTAGGTAGAGGACCTACACTTTCCTATGTTTTTCTCATGCTCTTAAGGTATTTAAAGAACCTCTTCTTATTGCTGCTTTTGTCCCTTACTAGGTGTAACTAGTTTTGTCCCTTAGGCTTTCTGGTTTTGCAATTCTTTTGTACTCCTCTTTAGCAATCCATCCGAGTTTCCACTTTATGTAGGATTTATTTTTGTTTTCCAGGTCATTAATGAAACACACCATGTGTAGATGCTTTTGCAAATTCTTAAACCGTGTAATTTTTTTAGCTGATTTCTTATGAAAATGGAACTCTTTACATAATTAACCAGAAGAAAAAATTCCAATTTGTAAAAGCCAATCCATCATTTTCTGATTTTAAAATCAGCTATATTGTATTTGCATATTTAAGAAAATTACAAGAAAAAGACTAGACTTGAAATTCAGAATCTGTACTTTGTAAAAATACTGTCCCTTACCATGAACTCAGTGCTGACCTCTTTAGGTCATTCATGAATAATAAAATCTTTCTAGAGAAATATTACTAGAATAGAACCGAGGGAAAAGAAAAAGAAAAGAAATGCTGTACAGTAATGTGCTGGCCATTTTCAGGTATGGTACAGGATGGAAAGTGTATACCTGAATACAAATTTTTGTTACAGCTACAGAATGTATGAAATCTTTCAACGCTCCATCTATGCTAAAGACAATAGAGACTCTGTGGCGTCGTCAATACTGCCATAATATAGAGTCTTCCTAACATACAGTAATCATCACAATAGAGCTGAAATCTAACATACAGATCTGTATTATGTTTTATATGGCAAAAAGATAAAGCAGTTGAAAAATCCTATGGCATTAGTTTTAAATAAATCATACATCAATTATATCTCATTCAATTCAAAACCCAAGAAAATTGTTTTTATTTGAAATGGCTGTTGTTGCAATATGACTTAAGTTAGCCTCTTTTCTTGGTCAGATGTCAAGAAGATCCTCCCCACTTTCATCACTTTCCACAGTTAGTTGTCTTGTCCACCATTTCTTCACTTCTGATCCACAAGAAGCAGCATCTGACATAGGATTCATCTTGCATACAACAGATTTCATAGTTGTGCGACCACCAAACCGCAGATTGACTGAAGACACTGAATGGCTTATTGGTTTGGGGGCTAGGAAATTAAATGGAAAACTACTTATTAGAGTGCACATGCTTATTGAACTATTTTGCCGTAGAGCTTTTCTATACGAGAGATATGGCAGCAGTTTAAACAGACTGAATTAAAATGGAACTAGTTAAACTGGTGCAAACCCCTAATGTAGATGCACTGTGGGTTTGATCCTGCAAGGTGCTGAACACTCGGCCCTGATCCATCAAAGCCCGGCTTTGACTTAATGTAGGTCAATGATCCCACTGATTTCAATGGACTACTCATAATCTTAAAGTTAAACACATGCTTAAGAGCTTTGGTGGATTGGGGCCAGTGTGCTCAGCACTTTGCAGGATTGAGCCCTTACACTGGTTTAACACTTGCTTGAATTAGTTTAGCTTGTGCCATTAAGTTATTGATCTAAGCTCAACCAGTATATGCTAGGGTTAAACCGACTGAGTTTTATGTATGATCCCAGTATCATGCATGCGCATAGGCCTGGGGCCCTGTCTCCTTGCGTTGGTCAGCAGAGCTGGCCTGGCATGGGGATTGTGCACTTTTAAAAAGAGAAGAGGTACGGTGGTAGCATGTGCTTCTTTCAGCGCCTCCTATTCAATCCCCCCACCTGCCCAACATGAGCATCAACTTAAAAGACACTACCTGGCTCTTATTTTCTATTGTGATGTAGTTATTGTGATGACAACTTAAGGATTTATGAGTAAATAAACCTATCCGGGGCTGATTAAGCACCTAGACAGAAGGCCAAGGAGTTTATCAATCCAGGATATGGTTAGTACAGAGGTGAAAGAGAGCATCACAAGGTGCTACAGTTATAATGAAATGTTTAATTAAGCTATTGTTATTACATTTTATATATTTCAATAGCACCCAAAATGTGCTAGATGCTGTACAGGAAGACACAACTCCAGCATACTAATCAAGTGGTCAGGGTGGTGACTGATCACGTCTTCATAATTTCATATTTTTAAAAACTTGAGGGGTGTGAAGGGACAGTTTCCTCTTAGAAGGCTCAGGGGGCAAACCACTCCAAAGTGGGTGGGGCGGGGCAAAGAGGAGGAAGGACCATGGACCAGCTTTCCTTCCCCTCTGCATTTTCTCCATCTAGGGCCTGTGTGTAGACAGTCTGACCCTTTTAAAACAGCCTCTTATCAAGCTGCATTCCAAGGGGTGCTTTGGTATTTATATATTTTATTTAATGGTCTTCACTCACCTGAAGGTAAACGCCATTGTCCGAATTTCCGTTGAGGCTTCCCACCATCTGTAGAGTCCTGCCGATACCCGCCCCTGTCAGAAAGTGTTGGACTAAGGAGCTGCTGCTGGCTACTCGTCTGAATGGAGCAAAACCAAAATTCAGTGACTTTAATTATGGCTACTTACGGCATGGCCATACATTGTAACAAACGCTGTGAAAGGTCACTATTTCCCAGCCTATTAAAGAAACATGCGCTGACTTTACACTTTTATTTTTTCCCTGCAGTCTGGTTTCTGGTTCCTTACTGCCCCCCCCATCCCTCCAAAAGTCTAAAAATTAACAGAAAAAATAATTGGGCTGGAGCTTATGATAAAATTCCACAGAAGGGCTCGTGGGGGCAGGAAAGCTTTCCCAGGATCCCGTGGGGGAGCCCTCTCTCCCATGTTGCATACCTCCCTGGATATAGAACCCAGGTCTCCTGATTCCCTGTCCAGTGCCCCTTGGACCAGGCTGCCTTTATAACTGAATGTCAACGTTTTAAAAATATGTTGGTTTAATTTTTTTCCAACAAAAATGATGTTAAAAATATTTAAAAGAATGTTGTTGTGACAAGCTCAAGTATAATTCTTGATTAGTTTAAACAACAATAATTTGCATAGGTCCGTACCTCTGGCTGTGCATTGTTATCTTGATTATTAGTATTCATATCTTCACTTGGCTGTGTTGTCTCAATGCTGGGCGGATTCAGAAATCGGCTCAACTCCTGCTGTTGACTCTCTCGTAGACTATGGATAATGCTACATGACTGCTGCTGTTTCTATCAAAATATAATATTTATGTGACCAAAAGGAAAAAAGAAACTTCCCTCACAAAGACTTTTGTTCCTTGATTCTTTTTATTTTTTAAAAATCCCTCTAAATACTGAATACTTCAAACAATTTTGAGCGTCTGGTATGGATTCCAAATTGTTCAGTCTTTTCTGTAAATCTACATAGACCCCCTATCTTCACTATTTAAATATAAAGAAATCTGTCTCTGAAATCTAAGGGCTTGAGATGTAGGAATTATTGGGTGAAATCTATGTTCTGTGTCATGCAGGAGGTCAGACTAATCGATCAGAATGGTGCCTTCTGGCCTTAAAATATATCAATGCCGCAAGAGACCACCCAAAGAGCCAGCAAAAACAAAACGGTGACTTAGTAAAAATGAACTTTATGGGGTTGATCAGAAGCCTGTTGAAGGCAACGGGCTTTGCTTCTGGCCCCAAATTAGGTTGAACAAAATGATCATGGAAGCCTTAGGACAGGGGTGGCCAACCTGTGGCTCCGGAGCCACATGTGGCTCTTCAGAAGTTAATATGCAACTCCTTGTATAGGTGCCGACTCCAGAGCTGGAGCTACAGGCACCAATTTTCCAATGTGCCAGGGGGTGCTCACTGCTCAACCCCTGGCTCTGCCACAGGCCCTGCCCCCAGTCCTCCCCTTCCTGCCCCCTCCCGTGAGCCTGCCATGCCCTCGCTCCTCCCTCTCCTTCTCCCCCCCAGAGCCTCCTGCACCATGAAACAGCTGATTGGGAGGTGTGGGGAGGGAGGAGAGGTGCTGATTGGTGGGGCTGCCGATGGGTGGGAGGCGCTGGGAGCGAGGGGAGGTGGGGGAGCTGATGGGGGGCTGCTGACTTATTACTGTGGCTCTTTGACAATGTACATTGGTAAATTCTGGCTCCTTCTCAGGCTCAGGTTGGCCACCCCCGCCTTAGGAATATTTTACAGTGTGGATTTTTTGTTGCAAGTTATTATTGTAAAGAATCTGCTGGGTTCTTTATAGTACAAATAGAAAAATGTAGCCTCTGTCACAAAAATCTTACAATCTAATTTAGTTTTAAATTAAAATAAATGATCCTTAGAGAAGGTTTCAGTGTGCTGTATAGTTTTAACATGCCACTTGCTTAATAATTAAACAAAATATATAAAAAACTTATATTAAAAAAAGTCTTTTGCAATTCTACTCAAATTAATAAAAGGTTCATGTAACAGGTAATGGTCTGATTCATATTGTTAAAATGAAATGAAAAGTATATTTACTTTTATATATTGTAATTCAATATCATAATGAATTGAGCAATTGGGTTGAACAAAATCAAAACTGAGAGATAAAATGAAATTAACAACAGCTAATATTAGAGCTGGGACAAAAATAGAAAAATTAGTCTGAAAAGGAACCATTTATCTGAAGATCCCTGGAAATGTGTTGTTTCAGATAAAATGAAAGCTGTATTCAAACGATCAGGTTTTGGTTACACAAAATTACAAAGCAGCAAGAGGCAGAGCCTACAATTCCCTGATGTGCTCAAATCACAAACTTTTCATGGCAAAAATACAGATTTTCGTGGGGAAATTTCCTACGATAACTTTGGCCCAGGTCCATTTTTTTTGCCAGCAAAAATGGGAATAACTCAGTGGAAAGATTATGACCGGCCCAAACGTTCTACGCATTCTGGGCCTGATTTTCACAACTACAGGAACCCATGGCTTTATGTACCTAATTTACACATGCACATAGACACGTGTGTGTGTGTTGAAATATACAAACTGGCCTTTTGTGCATGTAAACAACTTATTTGCACACACAGTCACTGTAATGGTATATGCAAATTAGGCTTCAGAATATACATTACATTTGGGTCTTCTTTGAGGATTGTAGTACCATTCTCATTGGGATCTATTTTACAGTGACGGAGACCCTTGATATGGTGGTGGTGGTGGCTAACAGGATTATCTTCTGCCTGAATAGCTATCCAAGATGGAGTGGCAGTGGCAATGAAAATATCAGAAGTACAAATGCCTGAAACTAGCACTCTCTTTAACCTCTAACAGATTTAGAAGAGTGCACAATCCTGCACCATTGAAGATAATGGGCATTTTGCTATTAACTTCAATGAGAGCAAGGTTGCGCCCACAAAGATCTTTCCCTAAATAATGTATTCCTTGGTTTATTCATTTGGCCTTGTCTGTTGCAGAGCAGGTCACACAGTTTTCCTGCTTTGTGTAAGGAAAGGGGATTTGTTGGCAGGAAAACAGGTTTTGCCTGCAAAATATGCGGAGTTTACTAATTCTGTGAATGTAATTGTCTGTATTACGGAGACTATACCAGCATAGCTATGTCAGCATAGTTACGCTGGCATAACCCTGTAGTGTAGACACAGCATATACCTATGGAAGGAGTTTTTCCATTAGTATCAGACCACCACCTCCCCAGAGGAAATTAGCTACATTGACGGCAGCATTCTTTTCTTGACATAGTTGCATCTACACTAGGGATTCGATTGGCATAGCTATGTCGGTCAGGGGTGTTTTTTTTTTCACGCCTCTGGCCTATGTCAACCTAACTTTTAAGTGTAGACCAAGCCTGATTTTTCTGCTGATACATATTTTTTCACGTAGCTTGTAATGATGGCTACAGAGTAAACAAGGCAAAGTGAGAGAAAACTCTAGCTTCGTTGACTGGTTCAGTTCACTGCAAGCACTCCACCAGGACTTGCTGTTTTCGCTTCACTTACTGCTCGGATACGCTTTAAGCATTTCTTCAGCCACATGCGTATGGTTTGTTTGGCCACTTCTTCTTCTATTGTATACTCCAGTTGTTCCCTGGCAAGAAGCTCTTCCAGTTGAAGGCTTTTCCTGATATCAACAGACCTGTATGACAGCATGCTAGAAGAAACACAGTATTTGTCAAAAGCTAATGTACTTACCTATATTATTATTAACAGTATTACACTTTTAAAATCACAATGCGAAAAGGTCAAACTTTGGCACCTACAGTATGTAGCTAGCTAAAAAAAGATGAAGGGAGGATCTCTTGGTGCTCAGAACAACTGAAAATCAGGCCACCTATATTTAGGTGCCTAAATATGAATTCAGGTGCTTAGCTTTAGGCACCCACATTCGAAAATTCAGTTTCTTTCCCCTGTTTATGCTGCCTGTTTACCTTTTTGCATTTTTGTCATCTGGGACAATGTAATTATTGGAGGAGACTGAGTTTCACTTTTGTTTATAGTCAATTTTACTGTCAGATTTTCACCTGTGCTAGCGCAATACTGCATTGTTTGGATTTACAAACACAGCAAGGGAATGTTAGTTTAAAACAATTGTGGGAATTTAGAAAGTGGGAATTTAGAAAAGTGGGAATTTAGAAAGCTCATGGAGACATTTCTCTAGGACTTAGATTTTCTACGGTAAAAATTAATTTAGGGGAAAACTCTAATATTTGTTTTAAATTTAAGCAGAGAGTATTTCTTTAGACACAAGCTTGTATCCCCAAGTCATTTTTCAGACTTATGTATAACATTTAGTCTGCAGAGAAACGTGTTACAACAAACTTAAAGAAAAAGCCCACCATACCTCAATACGTCATGGAACGTGACATCTCCACCATTATGCAGCCTCTCCATTTCATAGCACATGTGCTTGAACAAAAGTTTGTCCTTGTCAAGATCTACCTCCAACCTCCCACGCAGCAACCTCAGCAGAAACTTCACACGGAAGGTAGGGATTACCCCCTAGGTAAGATTGCATCATAGCTGGTTAATTATGGCTACCTTACAACTAAGTCAGAGGCTCTATTTGATGCTGTTTCTCTAAAGTGATACAGATGTTCTTTCTCCAAAGACCCTTCAGGTATGTCTACACTGCAGCTAGGAGTGCGTCTCCCAGCTTGGGTAGACAGACTCATGCTAGCTTGGCTCAAGCTAAAATGCTAAAAACAGCAGTGTGGAGGTTGCAACTCTGGTAGAGACTCAGGCTAGCTACCCAAGCACAGGACCAGGGAGTTGGGTGGGCTTCAGAGCCTGAGCTGCAGTGTGAACCGCAGCACCCACATGGCTAGCTTGAGCCCTGCTAGGGCGAGTCTGTCTAACCAGGCGGAGTGCTTGTTCCCAGCTGCGGTGTAGACATACCCTTTGACTTACATGGGGCCAGGATTGTACCAAGGGTAGTGTAACTGAACAATGCAGACATAAAGGGGCTTATCTTCAGCGGGTGTAACTTAGCAATAGTTCCTTTGAAGTCAATGGAACTATCCTGATTCATACAAGCTGAGGATCTGGCCTATATATTTTGCCTAAGATTTTCAAAGTTCTCTGGGGGACTTGGATGTCCAGTTTCCATTTATTTGTAATGGGAATTGCATATCCAAACTGGTGGCTTTGAAAATCAGCCTTGACCATTTTTATTTTGTGAGAATTAAACCTTAGGCCTAGAGTCATTTATTAGGAATAAAGTCAGCTAGATTTCTAAACATTCACAGGTGTGTGCCTCTATGCTTGTTATGCAGCTGCTCCATCGTGTGTGTGTTCAGTGGTGTATAAGTAGTATGTCCTCTTGCTTTTCCAAGAACTTCTACTCCAAGATGTAACCAACATACAAACTTCTTGAGGTGTTTGTGGCAACAATTTTGAGCCTGGCTGTTGATAAGGAACTAGGAGTGAAAATATTTTCTCCAAATTTGCAGAATCAAATAGTTCTCTTTGAACATTATGTTCTATAACTTTTTTATTATGAGAAAGGATGGAAGTCCTTTGTTATGGAAGGTCCCACATCACAATGCTCTCCTCGCAGCCCTAGGATGTAGCACTCTGAGCCCCGCCAGTCCTACAAACACAGGACATGGACTTCGATCCCCACACAGCAATCTTCTGCCACTAGACCAGTGGTGGGCAACCTGCGGCCCGCAGGCGGCCATCAGGGTAATCTGATTGTGGGCCATTAGACATTTTGCTGACGTTGACTGTCCACAGGCACGGCCCCCCACAGCTCCCAGTGGCCGCGGTTCGCTGTTCGCAGCCAATGGGAGCTGCAGGAAGCTGCAGGGACGTGCTGGCCGCTGCTGCCCATGGCTCCCGTTAGCCATGCCTGCGGACGGTCAACATCAGCAAAATGTCTCACGGCCCGCAATCAAATCAGGTTGCCCATGACTGCACTAGATCATCAGCTGATCTCAGCACACTGCAGTTCATATTCAAAACTGTTCGAAGTAATTCAGTGATGGGATGAGTGAACCATTCATAGTTTAGTTCCTGTTGGTACCTAAGTTGCTCCCCTACCCAGGCCCTCTCTCCGTTTCAGCTGGACCATTCTGAAGACAGGAAATGTAACTATGTGAATCTCTGAACCCTAGGTTGAGGGGACAACTCCTGGGCTGCCTGGAGGGAAAGGACTATGACTCCAAGTCTGTAAACACCTATACACATGCTTAACTTTACGACTGTGTGTAGTCCCCGGGAGCAAAGTTAAGCATGCACGTATGTGTTTCAAGGATCAGGGCCTATGTGAAACGCAACATCTCCTGTTCATCGTTCTTTTGTGAACCTGGGTTGTTAAAAATAAATAAATCACAAAATCCCCTTACCCTAAACTCACTCTGACTCTAGGTGGGTTTGAGGCTCAGTGGGTTAGCACAGCCCACTTTATGTTTTCCTAGTAATACATTTTTTGAGGAAACAATGCAGAAGATTTACTTAGATCATAAGTTCTTTGGGGGCAGGGACTGTCTTTTTGTTGTGGGTTTGTACAATGTCTAATACAATGGGGGTCTTGGGCCACAACTGTGGCTCCTAGGCATTATAGTAAAACAAATAATAATAATAGCACTGAGTGCAGTGCTTACTGTCAAGTATCTTACCTCTCTTTTGTCATCAACCATGTTCCATATAATTTGAAAATGTCTAAGATCATTATAGCTTAAAAGTTGGTCTTCTTCGGTGGAGTAAAACAATGAGAAATTCTCCACAATGATCGCTAAAAACACATAAATTAAACATAGTATAAGGCTAGCCTGTCAGCACTTTCCAACAGTTATACATTAATTAGAGATAATGTATTTCAGCAGGAACTAAATTTTCACACGTGGCTGTAACAGCGGCAACCTATGGGCAAACCTGGTACTAATGCACCCCCATATTGTGTGTTTTTGTTGTGCTCAAGTTTGAAAATGTAGTCCTTAAATCTTAAGTAGGGGCCTAATCTAGCACCCACTAAATTCAACTGGAAGATTCTCATTTACTTCAGCAGGAGTTGGATTATTAGGCCTATAAAATATAAACTGGAGAGCAGACTAGCTCTGCAAAAACGATTTCCTTTGTACAGCTCTCATCTACTCTTTCATTTTCACATAACTTTCATTTACAGACCTCCTTATCAAAAAACATTTTCTTATTTAGTGTTAACAGCCAGCAATTTAAAATAAAGGTTAGAAACACATAACATACCAGCCAAGTATCTGAAAACATCAGACAATTATAACATTAACTTGAGGGCATTTAACAATTTCTTTTTACTGAGAGAGTTTAAAAAAATGTTACAGTTGATATGGCCTACAACGTAAGGCCTGTTCTGGATGAGGCACCCAGATCTATGGCACTCCACCCACATTTTAAGATAACTATTTTTCATAGTCAATAATCGTTGCTCACCAACAAGCAAATTTAGCATTATGTATGCAATGATGACATAAAAGGAACAGAAATACATCAGAGCACCAGCATAATTTCCACAATCTGTCCTCCAGTATGTGCTGTTATCTGGAGTACAAAAAGGAGGCTGAACCTTCAAAAGAAAACAGTAAATAATTAAATCAAAAAATTAGGCAAGGGATTGCTTATCGGTCTGCAGTTAACATAACTATATTTTTAGAAAATAATAAAAATAATACAGTAATGCACCTCAAACCAGTGTAGGTTTTGTGGAGAAATACCACATTTGGGAGAAAGGAGGAAATATTTCGCTGTTATTTTAAATGGTAGATGCTGAAAGCAGCTCAGAGCTGGCCCTGAAGGTGATGGATTAGTGGGCAGAGTGAAGGAGAGGCAGATTTCAAAGGTGCACGATAAATCCATTTAACACATGTTTCTACAATTACCCCCCTATATGAGCATGGGTATATATTATTACAGCAAAACAGCAACCAGTGGCAATGAAATGTTATGACACGTTTAACAAACAGCAACCACTCCCATGTATTCAAGACAGGAAATGAAGAATACCTTATCCAATGTAACTGAAACTATGGGGGCGGGGTGGGAGGGGACTTTATGTTAGGCAAAATAAAATGATGTTAACTGAATTTGGGCCAGGATATCAAGATTAATGTTCTTATGAAATGGCCCAGGGTACTTCATTTTAAGATCAGATTTATCTAAAGGACGATGGCACCATCAACAACACAGTGCTTCTTTGTACCAAGCCAGAGCACTGGATACTGAGTCAGAGGAAATTGCGCAACCAGTTTCTTGTCTGTTTTATCTGTGATTGTGCTGTATTTACCATGCAGTCATGCATAATCTTGTTCCAGTCTTCCCCAGTAACTATTCTGAAGAGTACAGTAATGGCCTTGCCAGCTGATGAAAAGTTTGCATGCCTGTTTTTTTAAACAAAAAGAGAAAAAGAGCAGCTCAGATGTCAGAAATCAAAGCTTGGCAATACAAACACATGCAACTTTCTGGAGAATTATTTTGCTGTGTGTTCAACAAGTAAAAAAAAATAATTTGTATTTTCTATTATTCTTACCTGAGCTTCATGCCCCATATATTGTTGGTAGAACTCAGAGAATTATTTGCAAACATATTCACTGAATAATTTATGCCATTAATTTAATAGGGACTTAGAAGCCGGACTCTAGCCACCCAGTTTTGAAAAATTTGGCTAATATCTTATCAAGTAATAAAAGCTCATTTGGGGCCATATCCTTCCCCAGGCCTTCATCCTATTCGTGCCTCTTCTGGTGCAAAGGGGATGGAGAGCTGTCATTGGGTTATGTAGGATAATTCCCAGGTGGCATAAAGCCAATGTAGCTGGCTCCCTCTCACTCCATTCGAGGTGTAGGGACCATTTTTGGATGGAACCAAGGGTGTGAGCAGGTGTAGCTGTAGCACAGTGTTCCAGCCACCTGGGCCAATGGAACAGTCCTTTTGGGATTGTTCCAGCTAGCACAATGAAGAGCAGCTGTTAGTCTTCTGTATATTACACTGGGTGTCTGTTTAGTCCCAGGATTTGGGGAATGGGAAGGTGGCTTAGAGCCGTCTATCATACATTGTCAGCCGAGTGCCGCTCAGCTAGACCTAGAGATCTGGCTCTTGGTTGCTGACATAAAACCAAATGAAAATTTGTGCTCAGTAGATGGGAATATTTTATTTGGCTGTTAAAAATCTTCCACAAAAGGAAGCCAATATTGTACCTGTTAATGTTCTCTCCATATTTCACTGTGCCAAATAAAACTACTCCAGCAAAAGCATAACAAAGAAGCAGTAAGAACATTCCCACAATGATGAAGAAACTCTTATACATGCTGACAACCACAGTCAGCAGCAGCATTTTCAGTGTCACCTGGAAAGGCAGAGAGGAAACACAATTCATGATACTATTAAATAACAAAAATAAAGGAGACTTTAACACATTTGTAACTTTAAATCTTGTAATGATTGTTCTTTTAATTGGGAAAACATATAGGTTAATGTGCCAATCCAGTAGTTTAGAGGTAGCTCAGTGAAATACTACACTGTCAGTCTGAGTTTGGAACAACACTTGGTCTCTTGTTCCAGGGTTTATGGCAGTGTATCTCAACCTTTCCAGACTACTGCACTCCTTTCAGGAGTCTGATTTGTCTGGAGAATCCCCAGTTTCATCTCACTTAAAAACGATTGGCTTACAAAATCAGACATAAAAATACAAAAGTGTCATAGCCACTCTATTACTGAAAATTTGCTTACTTTCTCATTTTACCATATAATTATAAAATAAATCAATTGGAATATAAATATTGTACTTGCATTTCAGTGTATAGTATACAGAACAGTATAAACAACTCATTGTGTGTATGAAATTTTAGTTTTTACTGATTTTGCTAGTGCTTTTTATGGAGCCTGTTGTCAAACTAGGCAAATAACTAGATGAGTTGATGTATCCCCTGGAAGACCTCTGCATACCGCCAGGGGTACTTGTATCCCTGGTTGTGAACCACTGGTTTATGGTAATCAGTACAGGATTTCACTGGAGATTTAAAGAAACCCATCTATCTACAAGGGCAAGCTTTAGCCCCCCTCAGAGAGACTATGACATAACAATCAGCACAGATTGATTAAACTATTTTAATTTCTTACACAAGTCAGCCTGTAGTGTCTAAGCAGAGACAAAGAGACACAATACAGCAAAATGTAGAGAAAATGGAAGCTGTATGATATTTTAGCATCGTGGCAGAATTATTACTTTAGATTGAATTAATTTCAAAAATATTTGGACACTGCAGGAATGTCTCTTTATTTACAGGGGAGGTGAAACAATTTTCATCAGAATCATGACAAATCTGACAAATCATGTTAACTTTTTCCCATCGCACTACATCATAGCCATAACTTAATGGGACTGATAAAGCTTTTAACATGAAAGCATAAATAAGTAGGTTAAAGGCTTGAAAAAAAATCTAGAATACTTCAAAAAGCTTTGATGGAAATGACCAGATCTGGTTGCATAAGAGAAGCAAGAGTTTTTCACTTGACTTCCAAGGCTCTCCATGCTCTGTGTGGTTAGATGGAGGCAGACTTTTTTCTTTGCTGAACAGAATCTGTGACTTATCTATTCTTAACCCTTTAGTCCTAATACAGAATTCATTTCCTTGACTGCAGTTATTCTAATATGTCTTATGTCATAGAAAATGTTTGGATAATGTTTGGAGAAGCTTTGCCACAACAGAATGCACAGTATTACAACTTACTAAAGAGATACATTTGTTCTCTGCATAGGTAGCTGTCAGTTACACCTGCTGTCTGTTACACTGGTGTAAATCTACATACCAGGTAAATCGAAAGTAACTTCAGCGGAACTACTCTTAATTTATACAAATGAATCTGAGAATTTGGCCCAACATCTTTATTTTACTGAGCACAAATCCCTTATTTAGATAAAATATAATGTGCAAGTTAACACTAGCACTGTGCTAACACCTGTAATGTACAGGATGGAGCTTCTGCATGTGGACAGCAGCACAAGATGAGCACATCACCCCATACCCTGCTTTCTTGTGGAGAAAATAAATAAAAGAAAATAAAAGTAACACATCGCAACACATTGAAAAAGCAATGGTTACAAATACCGAAAAGGGCACAATATATATTCAGGGCTTTAGATGGCAATAATTTTAAATGGTGTTGTGTCTTAGTTATCTTTTTGATGACAAAAAATGTACAGCATTTCCAATAACCATAATTTATTTCTGATATTTGTGTGATGCTCTGTACCTTGGAGGAACACCGTACACCCCCTTGTTCATCTTTATAAAATGATTGTGTGGTATCCAATGCAAAGTTTGTCATGTTTGGTGTCTTCGGAAGGCTCATGATGAACTGAGCATGGTTATTATAGTGATGTTATAGTAATTGTTACAATAATGTTATAGTAATGTTCTAGGTTATAATTTCATATATAGTTATGAGACTGAAAATGTATCCTCATGGCTTAAAGCAAGCCCAGGCAAAAGCTCTCCAAGAACAGAGAGGCAGTTCGCACCTCATCAGGGCATGTATGGGACAAACCCAGCCCAGCCTCACAGGAACAAAGGATGCTGGCTTAGACAGCAACAAAATAACCTGTTGAGCTCTCGAGGGAGTCACGCCCCTTCCTTTGGTCAGTTTGGAACTGCAATGAGGTAATGCTCACTTGACTCTGAAGGGGGGGGGAGGCTAAGCCAAGAGGGAAGAAATAACATATAAAAGGGAGAGACGTTTGCCATGCTCTTTATCTCTCTTCCACCTACATCTACAGACACCACCACCATCAAGCAACTGAAGTGCTGATCAAAGAGGAAACCCTGGCTGAAGAGCAACCAGCCAGCCTGTGGTGAGAAGCATCTAAGTTTGTAAGGGCAGTGAAAGTGTTAAGTTCAGCTTAGAATGCATTTTGCTTTTATTTCATTTGACCAAATCCAACTTGTTATGCTTCGACTTATAATCACTTTGAATCCATCTTTGTAGTTCATAAATCTGTTTGTTTATTCTACCTGAAGCAGTGTGTTTGGTTTGAAGCATGTCAGAGACTCCCCTTGGGATAACAAGCCTGGTACATATCAATTTCTTTGTTAAATTGACGAACTCATATAAGCTTGCAGCATCCAGCGGGCATAACTGGACACTGCAAGATGGAGGTTCCAAGGGTTGTGTCTGGGACTGGAGATATTGGCTAGTGTCATTCGGTTGCACAATCCAAGAAGCAGCTTACATGCCAGAGGCTGTGCATGAATAGCCCAGGAGTGGGGGTTCTCACAGCAGAGCAGGGTAAGGCTGGCTCCCAGAGTCAAGGATTGGAGTGACCTAACAGATCACCGGTCCAGATAACACCAGGGGGAAACGTCACAATGTAATACAACTAAAACCCTGATATTTTAAGTTAAACATATAAAATGGAGACTTATAGCAGTAGTACATAAAATGGAGACCTGTAGAATGTGCTGTAGAAAAGCAAAGTGATAAATCTTTTAATCTATGCATGAGCATTGTATTGACTGTAATTCCTGATTTGTACTTACATGTTTCCCACAAATTGAGAAGAACCTGAAGACAATTACACATGCACCCATCATATATGTGTATGCATTCTGAAATTTAAACACAAGAGACTTCATATACAGTGTCCCGCAGTGATCTCTCAAATGATCAGTTTTTCTGCATGAATCTCTCTGTGAATTATACAGTGCAATCAGCATTTTAAAAAAAGTAATATTTCAACAACAAATGCTGAATAATAATAAACTAACAGAAAAAGCTGTGCCACTTCAAAAGCACTAGCCAAACCTCCCAACACAATAAACCAACAAAACCCTCACAGTTCTCTTAGCTGGGCTGTAATTATGTCCAACAGCCTCCCAGTTCTATAAGTCTAGGCAGCTGCTGGCTTGCAGAAACTCCACAGGCCTGCCAAGCTACTCAGCAGCAGGGGGCAAATTGAGGATGCCAGGGACAAAGGGACAGTTTTGCCCCCACAAAGAGTGCTTGAGATAGACCAGAGGGAAGGCCCTCAACAATGTAGGGAGGTGACAGCCACAACTGGGGATTATTGATTGAAGCCACCTCTCCTCTCCAGTGATAAGGGGGGAGAGCTCACGTTCCCACAAATGAGGGTGTATGCCCCCGCTCCCCCTTTTTTTTAAACTTGAGAGGGAGGGTGCAGCTGACCTCTTCCCTGGACAGATAAATCTTCTGCCTTCCTGGACTAAATGTTGTTCTGTAACAAAAACGTATGGACCAGATTCACTGACATGCTTTGCGCTGTTCATCAGTTTAGAAAATCTGCCTTATCTTTCTCTACAATGACTCCTACCTGGATTATTCCCTCCAGCCTCTCTTCCTCTCTCACCCCCCAATGAAACTGCTCCTGGCAAGGTCTTCCAATCCCAGGACACCACATTTCTTCCCTCTCCTCATTCTAATCCCTCCTAAGGACTCACTTCCTCCACAAGGCCCGCAGACCCTAACCAGGGATTCTCAAACTGGGGTCGAGACCCCTCATGGGGTCACGAGGTTATTATATGGGGGGTCGCGAGCCGTCAACCTCCACCCCAAACCCTGCTTTGCATCCAGCATTTACAATGGTGTTAAATATATTAAAAAGTGTTTTTAATTTATAAGGGGGGTCGCACTCAAAGGCTTGTTATGTGAAAGGGGTCACCAGTAAAAAAAGTTCGAGAGCCTAACCTATATCAGTCCAATATCTTCTCCACCTCAGCACTATAGGATGTAAGAAAAATCTAGTTCACCAATTCCACAAATTGTTACCTTCTTCTTGGTTCCCGGGGCATCTTGTTTTATTTGGGTCTTATTTTTAGTTTGTAAACACCCTGGGCTTGGCAATTGTCCTTATTTAAATCAGGATAGCAGTAAAACTGTTGGTGATTAACAAATAAAACCAATAAATGATCATTGGAGTTGCAATTGTTGATCTTACTAGTAAGGCAAAGTGAAGTATCACCCATATAACACCAAGGGAGGTCACCAAAAGGTCATATCGATTTCTTCTGCTTTGCCAGAAGCCAGCAGGTGACATGGCAATAATCTTCATAGTGACCTAGAGAGCAATAAAGATAGTCTTGCTAGTGCAAATTCTTAGCAAAAGGTTATTTTTCACTATAAGAACATTTGGTCCCTAAAATGTTTTGGTAGTGTTCTACTTGTAGATTGGTTTTAAATGAGTAGGAGTTTTAATAGTTAAACAAAGGGTTAGTATGAAGGTAGAAAATGATTAAGCTGATGATGCATAACTAAAAAATTACATGTGTGTGTATGGGTGTATGAAGAGACTGAAGTATATATTAATGCCAATTTCGCACAAATACACTTATATGCAAGGTTATAACTGTCTTATATGTCTCATGTACTGCAAATTAATTTAAAAGCAACCTTCTTTTTCCTGTTGCAAAAGATTTTTGTTTTACTTCTGGTGAACTCTATCCATGCTCAACAGCATACATGAACACAGGAAGCATAAGATTGGAGGAAAAAATAGTGTGGGCCAGTAGATTGCAGTGGGTTTCACAATGCTCCTAATGAACACAGAGACTGAAAGGGTTGACTTTTCTTAGAAATAGGTTTCAGAGGGGTAGCCATATTAGTCTGTATCAGCAAAAACAACGAGGAGTCCTTGTGGCACCTTAGAGACTAACAAATTTATTAAGGCATAAGCTTTTGTCCAAAAAAATTTGTTAGTCTCTAAGGTGCCACAAGGACTCCTCGTTGTTTTTTCTTAGAAAGTTAGTGATGCCTCGGGCAGGATGTTTAAGAATAGGTTCTGTTTAGAATAGATAACAGTATTTTGCAGTCGTACAAGCCATGTGATCCATGCAGAATGTCTACAAAAGAAGGTTTAGCGTTGCACACAGTCAGTTCTTAGCTACACATATTAACGGTTTAAATGTTACTAAAGCATATCATATAAAAGAAATAATAATTAGGCACTAATCTCTTTGGTTTTATATCCTAGCTTTCAATACTGACATTTAACAATGTTTGTTAAATTCCCAAAGGCTAAATTGTATTAACGGTGACACTGGTTTAGGCTCAAATTTGACACTCTTCACTTACCTGATCGTATACTCTCCACTCAGATATGACTGGAAAGTGCAGGACAGAGTCACAATTTTTATAATCTGCAGAGGAATATTTTTCAGTTTCCAAATATCTATTTTTTGCTGTACTTCTCCATCCCTCCCATTCCACAAACCAAGTTTTCCCACAGTTAGCAGGATACAATAGCTCCACCTACCAGGATTTTAAAAAAATGGTCTACCATAGGCAGACTACATCCTTCCTTCCCATGTCTTTTCAAGATATTTTATTGTAAGAATGGGGTCCACCTGATATTCATCTCAGTCATCACTAAAGCCATGTCTCATAGTATTCTAAAATAATAATGAGGTCTCAAAGTAAGTTTTTTCCACTGATTCTGTGGCCACTTGTATTGATGTTTGCAATAGGAAGAGTGATTCTTTTCTTACACAGGTTTGAGCTCTCATCGGTGGTCTTTAGAACTGTTTCACTGCATTCTTTACCAGAGCTATGCAGTTAGACCTGACCCTACTCAGATTCTGTGTCTACCAGGGTTCAGGTTTGGCCATGATTAACCAGGACAGGTACCAAGTACTTGGCAGGAAGCTGCATATATCTGGCTTGTGGGGCTGTATCTGGTAGGTTGGGGATATGCATGACACAAATGAACTGGAATTTTTGGGTAGACTCAGGAGATGCTTGTGGGCACAATGGCTCTAAACTTTTCAAGAAGGACCTTGATAAGGGAGCCAAATAGGCATCAAGAGTTTTCTTCAGTTTGGAAACAAAGGAATATTTTATTTTTACCTGTTAACTTTCTAATCCAGGTGAGAAAGCTGAACACACAGTTTAGATCCTGCCTGTATTCTTTTGTCTAAAAGGCTTTTAATTTATATCCATATCTAGATCACTTTTTCATTAAGATGCAGTCTACTCTGGGGCTTTACAGAATTTTCTCTTTCCTTGCGCAGCACTCCCACTGTTAGTCTGAACTCTCCTCGATGGGCATGATTCTGGACCCCCTGTTGAGGAATGGCCTTCATTTCCCCACATTGGTTAGTGGCTCTTTTAGCTTCCTTGTCACAAGTTCTATCTGTTTGTGCTGGCATGGTAGATGGCACTGGAATTAGACTTGTTTGAATCCCATGTACTACAGAAATTTTACCTTGAATCCAACTTTTCCTTTGCCCTCTAGACAGTTTCCTACTCAGGATGGCCTCCAGGTAGAATGATTGCCATTAAAAAGTCAATATTTCTCAACCAGCAGTTACCTCACAGAGGTATCTCAGATACCAACATATTTCCCCATACTTACCACAGGAAATAAATAGAGTATCAGATTGTGGTGTAGTAATTGTTGACATTATAATGAGAGACTCATAACTTTATGGAGGATTCTGTAGAATGGTAAAAACAAACAAACTACAGAAAGGATATTATGTGCAATTCTATAAATCAGCTAAAATGTAAAGACTGCTAAGGCTTTAGTTTGAGCCTCTTTATTTGATGACTAACAAAGTGAGCCTTTTTAGTTGCCATCTCCTTTCTTAGGTACACAGAGGAGCTGAGTTCTCTGATTACTAGACTGCTTTACTGGCAGATTTAAATTTGTGATTGGCTTACAATCTGAAAGATGAGGATTTATATCCCTTCTCATTTTTCATCTTATCCAGTGTAGCTATCTATGTTATTACCTATATAAATATCTAATCTTTTTCTGAACCCTATTAAGCTCTCAGACTCATTCCTATCTTGTTGAAATGAGTCCCACAGGTTAATTATGCTCACAGAGCTGATGTTGGTTGCAGTGTTTTCCAGGCTGCTAATTAAGGAAAACCAACCACCTTCTTTTCACTGCTTGTACTAAATATTGTCTTTTAAGATGGGAGAAGAGAGGCATATGGTAAAGGAAATTATACACCAAATAGTTATGTTTGTCATAGTCTTCTCCCAATATATCCCTGTTATATAACCTTTACTTTTCTACGCTCGTATCTACATACTACCCATAATTCTGTTGCTTTTGCTTTTTAAATGACTGAGGCAAAGGAGATGGATACACACACAGAGATGCTTAGAAATATATGTGCTTTCTATGGCTAACAGTCCTTTTGCCTTCTGTTTTCTCATGGTGTCATATTTAAACAGACTGAGAATGAAAGGAAGGATGTATGTTTTAAGCAGGACTTCCCAGGTAGCTAGACCTTGTGCTGGCTCACTGCACAGAACACCCTTTGCAACTCTGCTTTAGAAATTTACTGAAATACCATTCTCATTGCTATACATATCCAGGATGAAATTATCTGTGTTGCAGATACATGGACTGAAAAGGATACACAAGTCTAGCCCCATAACAAGTAAAACACACATTTCTGCAATACATACTCAAGCACTAGTCATATGAGTTGCCCCATGGATATGTAGCCTGCAATTAAAACTTGGACAGTAACCCTAGAACCAAAATAAAATATACAAAACTAGTCTGACTCTGGAGAAACAACTAAATATATTACTGTACCTCTAGGACAAAAATGAAGGTGAAAACAACAGACATTGTTGCTAAAGGAACAGTCACTGGATCTTCGACATCCCACTGAAATGGCACAAAGATAGTAGATCATAAAACAGATATAAAAATCTATTTACCACGTTTTAATTTTTATTTCAGTGTGTATTGTTGCCATAGATTCTGTTTTTACAGTGAATGACACATTCAGGCAGGAATGGTAGGTGGGTGCATCTTTCCTTTTATATGGATTTAACGTTAAATGAGACATTAAAAATAGTGGACCAGATTGTTAATTGGTATAAACTGGCGCAGCTCCAGAGACTTTAATGGAGCTGTACTGATTTACACCAGCTGAGTATCTGGCCCACTGTATTTAGAAATATTATATTTCCAGCAGTTCATTGCTAGCTTATGTACAGTTCACTATTTTGAAAGGGTACAGCTCATTCGTTCTGCCACCGTTACAAGACGCAATAAGAAACAAAAATACCTTCACTGAAAGCAAGACAGACTGGGCCAGAACAAGCACAGCAATAGTCCTCTTAAAAAACGGATGCTGCGTTATATCATACATTTTGGCTCTAAAGCCATCGTTATCTGAAAAAGAAGGAGTTAAACAAGAAGAATTAAATTGCACACAGTGGTATTTTTTTCTCCCTGTTTCTTGACATATTTTTCTTGTTTGTTAATGGTAACCTAATCCTTGCCTAGTTTTGAAATACATTTCTAATTTTCTGCTACAGTTTCACATATCGAATAGTGCTTCTGAACATGTAATTTCAAATACTGAACACCAATGTTGCATGAAGGCTTTGGTAGGGGTAAAGCAAGTGCATCATTCAATTGCTGTCAAGATAAGACATTCAATTCATATCATTAACAGGCAAGTGCAAATATATTTCATTTAAAATTCATTTTTTCATTAAGGCTTATCCTAAAACCATTGAAGCACAACCTTTTTTGGGTTGATTTTAATAGCCTTATGCAGAGATCTGTAGTTGGAGCCTGTTTCCACATTAACTTATGCACAACCTCCTAGTGGCCTAACGATTACAATTTTAATTTGAATCTTAGACTCCTGGGGAATTATGAACACTGGGGCTCAACATGAATAACATCAGAATATCTTTGATACCCGGACGAGGTGGGAGATGAAGAGGTTGAGCTATCTTCAGTCTGCTCTTTAGATCTTCCCACCGTCTCTGATCTACAGTCAGTAAAGCTGTACCCTTAACAAAGAAAAACAAGAAGCTTTTGTCATATAAAATCTTAAACATTTAAATGTTGTGCACATGAAAACAACAGCTTGCCTCGGGGCTTGAAATAAAGTTACATTCTCAAACTCTCCTTGAATAACACAGTATTTGGGTAAAGGGGTCAGAGCATCAGCCCTGCACTCAAGAAGATTTCCAAATGCACTAGCTGTGAGTTTCTGGGACTCAACTCAGCAAGCTCAGTTGTTGCTCTTTGTATCAGCGGCTCAGTGGGGGTAGGGTAACCTACGGGAGGTCTTCCATTTGACTGAACACCATTTGCTGGGGAGCACTGTTTTAAACAGTGGTCGATTCTGTCTGGACTTTGCTGTAAAAAACCCTGCAGCAAGTTATTAGCTTGTCAGCACTGCTGTACCTTATCAGGGAACCAGCCTTCTACAAAAGCACTACAGACACACTTCCTATGCTTGTAGTATAATTTAAATAAAATAAACATATGCTATTCTACAACATTTTCCATAAAGAAAGCATAAGAAGTGCAAATATGACTTCAAGATAGGTAGCAATAAAGAGCACACACATAAGCATTTTGATAGCATAGTACAAACTACACTATTTAAAATTATCTTAAGACATAATAAGGTCCTTACAACATCAGAGAGCTATAAAATCTCATACCAAGGGTTTGGAGCTGGAAAAGCAACAGAGAACTTTTAAAGGCAAATGTCACAGATTGCTTTCCCAGACACATAGAAATTTTGCCCAGTAAGCACTTAACCATACAAAGCTGTGTGAGCAGTAGTACCATCCTCATGGCGTGTCTTGGAATGTCTAGACTTGGAACAGTGAGTCAAACAAACAGGTGGCTGTCCTACTAATAAGATCAGAAAAGCTCCCTCTGAGGTGGACATAATCTCTTTATGGAATTGTGTCCGCAAGATATGCCCTGGGAAGATACACCCTAAAACGTGATGCAGTTAAAGAGACTGATTATTATAACATGTATTAATTCTCACTGTTAGGCCAAAAATCACACAGCACAGGAAATATTAAATTAAAAGGGATTACACAATAAGAAAGATTAATAAAACACTAGTGGATTATTGGAAAGATTTCATTACAGAAAAAATAAAAAGGTAGTAAAATAAAGACACAAGCTTAGTGAAATTTAAAAACAACCATGTCACAGACTCTAGATCTGTGTCTCAAGAGCTTTCCCCCTCACCACCATTTTTGTCAAGTGAGGAACTCAAAGAATAGTTCTCTTTGTTCATTGCTTATGGGCCAAATTGAGACCATGCCTAAATTCATACTTCAGTACACCTGCATCTGCTCACTTCAGATCTGAATTTGGTCCTATATCTCTCTTCAGGTAATATGATCCTAAGGAAATAATGAGGTTGCTTCTTGAATTGTAACTTACTTATATTAGCAACAGCACATCTTATTATCTCATATTGCACAATTTGTCATACGATGTTTAAAGCTAACAAAGTATGAGACTATTCCCATGTGAGATACAATAACTGAATTATTACCTTATTTTCATTGAAATTAGCAATGACAACTCCAACAAAAAGGGTCAATCCAATCATGCAGCCCAGGAACACAAAGACATGAATATAGATTCCATGGATCTGCATATACGAAAAATATGATTATTCATCAAAACAAATTCAGCAGCTTTCGAAGCGTTAACAGGATTTGATATGCTTGCTTACCGGCCCCACGCGATGAATAATGACATCTCTGACTTCCACCCAGCCTTTTAATGAAAGAACTTCAAATAGTGCCAACATGGCATTTCCCACATTGTCAAAATTAAAATTGCGAGGATTTGCCCTGAAACAATAGTAAAGGAATGAGTGCATTTTAACTATCTTCTGATAAGATGGAGCTTAGGCATCGTACTGTGGCCTCTCTAAGTCAAAGAATACAATTTCATGCTATACAAAGGAGCTAATCATATAAAGAAGCACAGTTTTTATTTGTGTTATTACTCAACTTTTCTTTCCATATCTGCTTAGTTTTTCTTCATATTCTATGTTAGTCTGAGACTGTAAACTCCTTTGTTACAGTGACTGTGGCATTGTCTAAATCTCTACAAAATATCATGCAATGTTCTGAATAATAATACTTTGAAAACTAAAAAAATTACATATACTCCACTTAATTGCTAAATCTTTACAATCTCATATTTATTTATAAGCTGAGCTACTGTAAAAATGATAAAGCTTGTGACATGGCACTGTATTTTAGAGTGTTTCTGACAGTACATTGCCAAAAGTTAGCGATCGTGAAAAAAACAGTTCTGATGACACTGGCAGAAACAAAGCTATGTCACACAACCCTGCTAATGTACCTCAAGGAACAGAATTTTCAAAAGTGCTGATGTGATTCAGGCTCCTGGTTTAGTCAGCAGATGCTTCTGCAAATTATCATTCATATTCATTCATAATATCAGATTTTGCTAGTCCAAAGAGAAATGTTAACGAGAGGATATCACTGGTTTTCTTAGCCTTCAAACATAACATTCTTTGTGTTAGCCAGGATTCCAAAGGAAGAAACTCCATTTGAAAATGAAAGACTCCATTAGAGGTTAGTTTTTTGAAGAGCTGTGCATCCCCAATCAGAGACAGATTTTCTGAAAAGCTCAGCCTCAGCTGCCATTCAGACACCAAAATAAGTAGCTAGATTTCCAGTTTCCCTACCAGCGTAACTTCTTGGAAAATCTCACCGCTAAGGCTATGTCTACAATATGAGTGTGATTCCCCTGAGTTGGTGTGAGTATAAGTAGTAGTATAGCTGTGGTAGCACAGGCAGTGGCAGCAGAGGCACAGCTTAGCTTTGCTTAGTACAGTGGTTCCCAAACTGGGGTTCGTGAACCCCTGGGGGTTCGCGAAATGTTACAGGGAGTTCTTAGGAAAAAATTCCCTAATGGCGGACAGAGCTGTCCCTAGGAACCTCGGGCAGCCTGGAGCCCCTGAGCTTCCAAGAGCTAAGCAGATCTAAGCAAGCCTATCTATCACACTGAGGAGATTTAAACTTCAAGACTCCTTATAAGAAATGGAAAGGGAGGTGGATATTTTTTGCTGATCTTATAATTAAATAGGCAGCTAGTATTGTTTTTAAAATTATTATGAAGAACAAGTTTAAGCTTTGTTGTAATGTGCGTTGTTTCCTGGACTGCTCAAGACCTGAATGCTTGTGGAAGGAGGAACTCTTTGAGTTGGCTTCTTAAATACCTTCATGCTGTTTCACATCTAATACTCCTTGATGAAACATAGGAGCCTCATTTCATTTTTAGAAGGGGGTTCACAAAACTTAACATTTTAGTGAAAAGGGTTCACAGGTTGTTAAAATTTGGGAACCACTAGCTTAGTACAAACCATGCCTCCGTTGCCACTGCCCACACTACTGCAGCTACACTACTGTTTATACTCAGGCTAGCTCTCATTGAGCTACCATGGGTATCTGCACACAAGCCAGGAAATCACACCCCTCGCTTGCAATATGGACATAGCTCCCACTGTGACACTCAGGCTATGAGGTACTGGGCTCTTGAAAATCCGGTCCTACAAGGCCAACAACTGGTACTCACCTCCTTGAATAATACATTTTCTGCAGTGACAAAAAATTCTCCAAACTTCATAGTTTTGCTGATTAAGATCTTTTTAGTTATTTCTGGATCAAGCTGAAGTGGATTGAATTTGCTTACTCACAGGAATTCTGCCTTCAGAATTTATCTGAAGCATACGGAAGCTGAAAGAGTTCTGCAGATGCCACAGCTTCACTGACTGTTCAAATCACAGTGTATTATTTCATTAGTGTAGGATGGCTCTGAATTTTCCCATGCTACCACGTTCTTTTACCCTCCCCCCTTAATTAAAATAATTTTAGCCGTTTTGCTGAATTTGCAAAAAAGTGAAACAACCTCCTTTCAAAATCTAAGCAATTAAAGACAAGTTTCACACATTTTTAGGTGTTAGAAAATCTTAAATTGACACTGTCAGAATATAAATCATAGACTTACTGTTGCCATTACATCATTGTTGCATCTGAGATACCACAATTGGGGCTGTCAATTAATTGCAGTTAACTCACACGATTAACTCAAAAAAATGAATCATGATTAAAAAAATGAATCACGATTAATCACAGTTTTAATCACACTGTTAAACAATAGAATACCAACTGAAATTTATTAAATATTTGTGGATGTTTTTCTACATTTTCAAATGTCTTGATTTCAGTAACAACACAGAATACAAAGTGTACAGTGCTCACTTTATATTATTATTTTTGATTACAAATATTTGCGCTATAAAAATGATAGAGTATTTTTCAATTCACCTCATACAAGTACTGTACTGCAATCTCTTTATAATGGAAGTGCAACTTACAAATGTAGATTTTTTGTTGTTGTTACATAAAAAACTCAAAACAAAACAATGTAAAACTTTAGAGCCTACAAATCCACTCAGTCCTACCTCTTGTTCAGCCAATCGCTAAGACAAACAAGTTTGTTTACATTTATGGGAGATCATGCTGTCCATTTCTTATTTACAATGTCACCAGAAAGTGAGAGCAGGAGTTCTCATGGGACTTTTGTAGCAGGCATTGCAAGGTATTTACATGCTAGATATGCTAAACATTCGTATTCATGTTTCAGCCACCATTCTAGAGGACATGCTTCCATGCTTGTTAAAAAAATAATTAGTTAATTAAATTTGTGACTCAACTCCAGTGGGGAGAATTGTATGTCTCCTGCTTTGTTTTACCAGCATTCTGCCATATATTTCTTGTTATAGCAGTCTTGCATGATAACCCAGCACATGTTGTTCGTTTTAAGAACACTTTCACTGCAGATTTGACAAAACACAAAGAAAGAATGAATGTGAGATTTCTAAAGATAGCTGCAGTGCCTTCCAAAATCTGAGAGGGACGAGGTGTGTCGCATGCTTTCAGAAGTCTTAAAAGAACAACACTCCAATGTGGAAACTACAGACCCTGAACCACCAAAAAAGAAAATCAACCTTCTACTGGTGGCATCTGACTCAGATGATGAAAATGAACATGCATTGGTCTGCACTGCTTTGGATCGTTACTTAGCAGAACTCGTCATCAGCATGGTCGCATGTCCTCTGGAATGGTGGTTGAAGCATGAAGGGACATATGAACCTTTACAGCATCTGGGATGTAAATATCTTGTGACGCCGGTTACAATAGTGCCATGTTCTCACTTTCAGGTGACACTGTAAACAAGAAGCGGATAGCATTATCTCCTGCAAATGTAAACAAACTTGTTTGTCTGAGTGACTGACTGAACAAGAAATAGGACTGAGTGGGACTTGTAGACTTTAAAGTTTTACAGTGTTTTATTTTGGAATGCAGTGTTTTTGAACATAATTCTACATTTGTAAGTTCAACTTCCATGATAAAGAAATTACACTACAGTACTTGTATCAGGTGAACTGAAAAATACTATTTCTTTTGTTTTTACAGTGCAAATATTTGCAATAAAAATAAATATAAAGTGAGCACTGTACACTTTGTATTCTGTGTTATAATTGAAATCAATATATTTGAAAATGTAAAAAGCATCCAAAATATTTAAAATGGTATTCTATTATTGTTTAACAGTGTGATTAATCATGCAATTAATCATGATTAATTTTTTTAATCACACGATTAATCACAATTAATTTTCTTAATCGCTTGACAGCCCTAACCACAATATTTCCCTGTGTGTAAAATAGGAAATATCAGATATGTACAGTAATAGGCAGCATGTTTGTCCTTCCTGCGCTTCCCTCAGGTTGGTAGGGAAACTAGATTGGTCTGTTTGTCACCAGTTTTATTTGCTACTTTCAGTACTACAATGCTGCAGTGTTTGGGTCCTGCAGCAGATTAACAACTGAACTATCTGAAGAAAAACTGGCCAAGTTACAACTACTCACCAGACTCGTGGCACCCAAAATCCAGGCTTTTTCTCTCCAGGTCTTAGCTTTAAATTCAGATTTTTTGAAACACTTACATTTATTCTGAAGATGCCATGACAATCTTCCTATAGTAAAATAAAGCACATTGGGTGAAATATAGACCTGCAGAGAGGTGAGGACACTGTACAACACAAACAGCACAATAAATAAGGCAGCTTGGAACAGTGTAAATGGAACAAAAGGGTTATTTTTAGGTACTGAATTAATAGTATTGGGAACAGAACTTTTTCATATGCAGGGAAGATACAGCATGAGCAGTGACAATGTAGAATCTTCATTCTGCACTTCAAGGCCCCCTCCCAGACTGAGAGGACTAGTAAATCTGCAAGTTCATTCAGCTCTTGGCCTCTTTTCTGAGAGTGTCATGGTGTTCGTGATGCTTGACTCCTCCCCACTGCAAGTGGAATGATGCTACTAATCTGCTTCACATAGGCCACGTAACACTGGCTGGTACTTTTCGTCACCATCAGCCTGGCCTGGATTTTAACTGGTGATCGAGGATTGCTAGGTGTCATAGCCCATTTCCAGGCCCTTGCACTGTCCAGTCCTTCAGCGCTCAAATGTCATGAACTCGGTATCTTTCTCATGTCTTCCTCAAATGCCTGGCACTCCCATTCCTTTTGCACTACATAACAACCTTCTCTTCATTCAAACCGCTTCCTAAAACACCCCTCTTCAGTGACCCTCCTTCCAATTCTTACAATCATAATCTCCCAAAGAAAGCAGTGTGTTTTGTAAAAGAAAGCAGGAAAAAGACATGGAAGAGAGGGCTACTCACCCTGTGCAGTAACTGAGGTTCTTCGAGATGTGTGTCCCTACGGGTGCTCCACTGTAGGTGCAGTAGTGTCCCTGTGCCTGGGATCAGAGATCTTTGGCAGCAGTGCCAGTTGGGCCGCACACTTTTCCCCCCCGTCTCACGCTGTGAGCAGTGGCTATATTGCACTGTGTGGTTCACCACCCTCAGTTCCTTCTCTACCACAGAGCCTACGTTTGAACTCTGAAGCGGAGGGAATGAGGAAGGGTAGTGAAGCACCCATAGGGACACACATCTTGAAGAATCTCAGTTACTGCACAGGGTGAGTAACCCTTTGTTCCCATTGGTGCTCCATTGTAGGTGAGTGCAGAGCAGTGCCCCTAGATGGAAGGCTGGGGCTTCAGAGAGACATCTACTAAGGAGGATAGAACAGTGGTCCTAGTAGGGCATCTGATGCTGCATAATGTTGACTAAATGTGTCCGTGGGTGCCCATGTGGCTGCCTTACCAATGCCAGTAATCGACATGTTATTTAGAAAAGCTATCGAGGTGGAAAGCGAGCCAATGGAATGCGTATGAGTTCCAGGTGAGGACTGAAGTTTGTGTCATTGGTAGCAAAGGTGGATAAATTCTGAGACCCATTTTGACAGATGTTGTTTGTATACGACCAATCCCTTTGATCTTTCATCTATAGAGAAGAATAAGTGTGATGACTGTCAAGGTAAAAGGCTAGTGCTTGTCTGCCATCCAAGGTGTCATAGCTTCATGCTGTTTGCCACGTGGTTTAGGAAAGGTGGATAGGTTGATTTACAGGGAAAGAGGATGGTACCTTGGGTAAAAACTTCAGGCGTGGTTGTAAAATGACTTTATCTTTGTAAAAGATTGTGTATGTGGGGTACACCATGAGGGCACCTATTTCTCCTACCCATTGGGCAAATGTGATGGATACAAGAAAGACCATTTTCGTGGATAGATGCATGTAGGAACAGGTCGCCATAGGTTCAAATGGAGAGCTGGTGAGATAGGCTGAGATCCCAAGGAGGGTCTTGTATCTCAGGGTAAAGATTCTGTAGGAACCCTTAAGGAATTTTTTGTCATTGGATGGTTGAATACTGAATTATCCTCTATCTTGGAGTGCAATAATGGCAGCCAGATGTACATGAACAGAGCTTGTGAATAGCCCTGATCTTTTTAGCTGTCGGGTGTAGTCCAAGATGAGTGGTAAAGGAGCGCTCATTGCTGAGACATGTTTGGTATCACACCAAGCTCAGAATCTTTTCCATGTATTTATTTATTAATGGAGATATCCTATCGCCTAGAACTGGAAGGGACCTTGAAAGGTCATTGAGTCCAGCCCCCTGCCTTCACTAGCAGGGCCGAGTACTGATTTTTGCCCCAGATCCCTAAGTGGCCCCCTCAAGGATTGAACTCACAACCCTGGGTTTAGCAGGCCAATGCTCAAACCACTGAGCTATTCCTCCCCCCACTGTAAGTATGTAGGTAAGTATAATGTATTGTCGAACACTGGCTATTTAAAAGAATCTCTTATATCTGTCCTGAACAGGTCATCTCTGTATTCTGGAAGCATGAAGAAGCCATGCCTTCAGATGGAAAAATTCTAGATTTGGGTGAAGAATCTGACCTGCATCCTGCGAGAGGAGGTGTTGCATCAACAGGGTGATAGGTGGACAGACCACCAGGAATAAGAGGTAAGGATACCATATATGTCGTGGTCATGTTGGGGCTATGAGAATGACTCTAGATCATTCCACTTTTACCTTGGGAAGCACTTTGAATAGTAGGGGAAGAGGTGGAAAGGCATAGAGAAGAGGTGACCTAGACCCTCTCTTGAGCAGAATGGTGGGCATCTGGCATTCTTGGGTGTGGCGAACAGATCTATGTTGGGGAATCCCCTGCGGATGAATATATGCTGTAGGGTTCTTGTGTCTATCTCCCACTTGTGTTCTTGTGAGAACTTCCTGCTCAGTGAGTCTGCCGTGGTATTCTGGTGTCCAGGAAGGTATGCGGCTGAGATATTGATGTCATGCTGGATGCACCACATCCACAATTTTAGTGCTTCTGTACACAGGGATTGAGACCTCACTCCTGTCTGTTGATATAAAACATGTAGGCGATGTTGTCTATCATTACTCTTACTGTCTGTTGTCTGATTATTGATAGAAAGTGTAGGCATGTGTTGTGGACTACATGTAATTCTAGGAGGTTGATGTTTAACATGGACTCTGATGGGGATCACTTGCCCTGTACCGTGTGGGTCTGTTGATGTGCTTTCCAACTTAGTAGGGAGGCGTTGATCATAAGTATCAAGGACAGTGGTGATTGGAGGAAGGGATCCCCCATGCAGACATTCTGAGGTTGTGTCCATCAGTCTAATGAGTCCTTGACCTTCAGTGATATCGAGAGCAGTTTATTCAGCCTGTGTCTGTGGGGTATGTATGCTGTTCGTAGCCATCCCTGGAGGCAATGCATATGTAATCTGGAGTGTTTTACCACAAATGTGGTCGCTGCCATATGACTGAGCAACTGTAGGCAAGTTCTGGCAGAGATCTAGGGTGACCAGATGTCCCGATTTTATAGGGACAGTCCCGATATTTGGGGCTTTTTCTTATATAGGCTCCTATTACCCACCACCCCCTGTCCCAATTTTTCACATTTGCTGTCTGGTCACCCTATGGAGATCTGTGGGCTGGGCCTCATGATGGAAATGAGACTGACTATTGCAGAAAATCTGTGATCTGGGAGAAAGGCTCTGGCCTCTATAGCATCTAGCTGGGACCTAATAAACTCTAGCTGTTGTACTGGTGTCAGTTGATTTTTGTATTTTTATCTGGAAGCTGAGTTTCAAGAAAAGGTCCAGCCTTTTTGTTATGATTTGAGTGTGTCGCCTCTGGATGGAGCCTTGATGAGGCAGTCATCTAGGTATGGGAATATTATAACCCCTTGTTTGCAGAGTGGTGCCGCCACCACTTCCAGGACTTTGGAAAATACTCTGGGTGCCATAGGGAGGCCAAAACACTCTTTACTGAAAATGGTCAGACCCCAGAACAAATCTGAGGAACCTCCTGTGGAAAGGGTGTATGGTAATATGGAAGTACGTGTCTTGGAGGTTGAGGGCCAAGAACTAGCTCCCCCCTGTTCCAGTGCTGGGATTATTGTTGATATTGTGACCATCTTGAACTGCTGTAGTTTGACAACATTGTTGAGGTTTCCCCAAGTCTAGCATTCAGCTCCACTGTCGGATTTCTTTTGGATTAGAAAATAGTGGGAATAAAAGTCTTTCCTGCTGAGTTGGAATGGCACCAGGTCTATGGCTACCAGTCACAGAAGATGGTTTATTTCTTTTCATAGACGGTGCTCATGAGAATGTTCCCTGAAGAGGGACAGGATGGGGTGGGCAGGAAAGAGAGGAATGAAATCGAATACCCATTGCTGATGATTTCCAGTACCCACTTGTTGGAGGTGACTTGCTGTCATGTCAGGTAAAACGAAGTCAAATGGCTGCCAAAGTGATGGAGTAATTTGGATGGCTGCAGCATCTGGACCATGGGGAGACATCTCAGGGCCTCAACCAAATTTTCAAAATTATTGTTTGGAGGCAGATGCGTGGGACATGCAGATAACCGCACATAACATGTGTTGATGTCTGTGTACATTTGGGAGGAGGTCTCTGTCACCTATGTTCTGGATCATAATGCCGTTGAAGGGTGAAATGTGGAGGGTGAGATCTCGGGGTAGGTTGATACCTACGCTGTCTTCTCTTCTGCAGTGGTGTATAGACGCTGAGTGAATGGAGTGTTGCTCTCCCAGATGATAAAAAAGAGCAATTCCAAGCACTAGTGACAGAAGGACCACTCCTGGCATGCATGGCGCTACAAACCTCTCTGGATGCTGCGGATATGGTGGCCCAGTCCATTGTGACTTCTGTGGTAAGGAGACGAACCTATGGCTTCACCTCTCAGGGCTCCCCTGACAGGGCTCCCCAGGAAGATCTCCCGTTTGAAGGATCTAAACTTTTTGCTGAGCGCACTGAGCCCCTTGGAATAGTTCATATGGTTATATTTGGATAAAAGTGCCTTGTAGTTAGCGATTTGTCCTTATCGGTGCCGAGTGACAGTATCCGCATATGTGGTCCTGCTCACTTAGGGTCCTTAGATCTCTCAACAGTGCTGGTACCAGAGGTGCCTGCACGGTTAAAGGAGCTAGGTCTCGCACCAGAAGATGTTGAGGCTATCGACCTCACGGGGGATGCATTTCCTTGGTGGGTGAGCTCGGTGCCCATTTCTTCTCATCTTGACGAAAGTGTGTAGCTTTTCTTTTAGTGGTGCGCAGTGAGTGGGAGTCGGCAGATGACAGTGTTGATGGTGACCACTGCAGAGGAGAGGTATTGGGGCTAGGGTCTGAGGCAGGTCACAATGATCTCTTCATTAGTAAAAGTTTTAGTTTCAATTCATGGTCCTTTCTGTACCATGCCTTCAATTTGAGGCAGAGGGTGCACTTTTGTGACACGTGCCCCTCACCCAAACAGCGTATATACTGTGAGTGACTGTCGTTCACAGGGAGGGCCGCACGACAGGAGAGGCACCTCTTAAACTTGGGAGATCCAGGCATAACCCCGAGCAGGGAGAACTTCCCTGTAAGGAAGGGCATAGAAAAATGAAACCTATGCTACTCTAAAGAATAATGGGGAGAAAGAGGAAAGGATTTTTTTTAATAAGGGGAAATGGAAAGAAAAAAATATAAAGGAAACAAGTATTACCTTAGAACTTTCAATGGAAGCGCTAATATTATTAAGGCACAACAGGCATATAAAGGGCTTGGCTAGGGATTCCATCCCAGAACAAGGGTGGTTGAGAAGGAAATGAGGGCAGCTGGACCGCACAGCGCTTTATAGCCGCCGCTCACGGTATGAGATGGGGAAGAGTACATGTGCGGCCCAACAGGCATTGCTACTGAAGATCTCCATTTCCAGGCGCAAGAGACACCTACAATGGAGAACTCATAGGGACAATATTCGAAGAAAAACTGTAATATACTGGAGACATCCATTCCAGCATCATGACCAGAAAAGATTCATGACTATCAAATGAGAAACTGTCCCCAGGGATTCTATCACACATCACAGGTTTGACAATGAGCCCACTATATGTGGGGAAGGGACTTTGGAAGCTTTACTCCGTGTTGTATGGCTATCCGGTTAGTTCAGACATGATCAACAATATTATGGGGGAAATCCTGGCCCAAATGATGTTAACTGGAGTTTTGACATTGACTTCAATGGGGCAAAGATTTCACTCTATGTTCTTTACTATGGCCCTGGTCCTGCACTGGTGGACCTTTTGCTGATGCAGAGGCCCACTGAACTTAGCTGGGCTCCGTGCCTATACAGGCGCTGTCCATATGGAGCAAGTTGCAAGATTAGGGCCTATCCTGCTTTAATGCTGTGATTTAAAGAATTCCCAGTACACTGACTATAACTGGTTTGGAAACACTGACTTCCCTTTATGAATTAACACTGTAGGCTCAATTTTTTGCCCCGAATTCATTGCACCTGCAATTACTGCTTCTTAGACATCTAAGTGATCCCAACTGTTTTCTCAATCAGTGAAAGTGAAAAAAGGGAGGTCATATGAAGCCTGGGTTAAGAATTTGGCTATGAAGCTGGATGCCATGTTTGTGCCCTTACTGTACTGTCTAATTTAAGACTCAGTTATGTGACTTTGGCACAGCCCTGCATTGTCCTCGAGGGTGTCTGCAGGAGGAATTTTGTCTCAGTGAAGCTCATTCCGTCACTGAGCAATCTGGTTAGGATGTGCACCACTCCCTGGGATAGGGCAGTCTGCTTCTCCTGGTCCAATAGGTCCATCTTCCTGGTAAGGTGGCAAGTAGCCCCATTGCCTTGTCTCCTTTAAGACAATCTGTACCTCCAATAGTGCAGGGAGGAGATAGTTCCTGTGCTGTCCCAAGTGCGGAGACTACATTTCTGACAGGCCCCTGTAGAAGCACAAGGGGGCGTAGAGGAGGAGGCTTCCTGCACATCTGTAAGGGCAAATCAGTATGGCCAAACTTTTCAAACATGGGGTCTTAAAATCAGGCTCCCAAGCCCATATTTAGGCTGCTAAACAAAAACAATCTGATTATTTATGGTGCTGAGCACCCCCAGAGGTTTTATTGACCTCAGGAGAGATGGGGATGTTCCACACCGCTGAGAATCAAACCACTTTGCTTAGATGCACAAATAAGGCATTCGGGTTGGGTTTTCAAAAGTGCCTAAGTGACTTAAGAGCTCAAATCCAACTGACTTTCTAGGGGCAGTGGGATTTTTAAAGTGACTCTAGTCTTAGCCAAGGTCTACACTAGAAACTTACATTGGTATAACTACATCGCTCATGGGTGTGAAAAATCGACATCCCTGAGTGACGTAGTTATATTGATCTATCCTGCGGTGTACACTGTGAGAATTCTCCCCTCAATATAGCTACCATCTTTTGGGGAGGTGGATTAACTACACCGGAGGGCTTCTCCCATCAGTTGGTGTAGGTAGCATCTGCACTGAAGTGCTACAGTGGCATAACTGCACCAGTGTAGCTGCACTGCTGCAGCATTTTATGTGACGACTTATCTTTAGGAGCACAAATCCTATGGAAAATCAGCAAGGCTTATAGAATCATAGAAACGTAGGGTGGGAAGGGACCAGGAGAGGTCCACCCCTCATATTGAGGTGGGATCAAGTGCACCTGGACCACACCTGACAGATGTTTGTCCAACCTGTTCTTAAAAACCTCCAATGACAGGGATTCCATCTTTGGAAGCCTATTTTGGAGATTAACTATTGTGACAGACCCAGACCAGTGGGGTACAGGAGTCTGGTAGAGGGCAAATATACTGGTCACTGGATGAGGAGTTGTCTGTTTCGTGAGGGGACAGAT